GGATGTCTTTTTGTGCACATTGGTTTTCTTATATGAGATGAATACCAGTTCCTGCAGATCGTGATATTACCACTGCATGTTCTCAGTGGTTGACAGTGTACCACTGTCGGCTGCATACCGGGCCCACAAACACACTTTTATTTACAGCAGTGTTGCAGGAAAGCAGACTGGACTGTGTGAAGTTAAACATTTCCACTGGTCCAAGGAATATAGTGTTGTTTTGCAATGAAAGACAAGTAAAGTGTGGGCTTGGTAAAATCATATTGCCCATGACAGCTCTCTACTACAGCCCAACAACTACAAGAGTCAGTCCATTATTAAGGTCAGGTAGAGACAGCGAATGCAGCACGGCATACTTACGAAAAGAAGCCCCTTGTTCATTAGCATGGAAAAATTACAGGTTGCCTTGCAATTATAACTTCTGTGAGTTTAAGCCAACCGAATATTTGTGTCTTGATTACAACATTTATATTTCGTTGTTATTGTGAGTCTCATAATAACGCTCAGCCCGTTCTCGCTCCCAGGGCGTCAAACAAAGACGCTTTGTCACGCCCACTCTGCATCCGATACAGACACACAGGGCGCCCCTTAGCATCTGCGTGAGACAGTCGAGTAACGACAATGTAAACCCATCCGCGTCGTTATTGGACGCTCAGAGAAAATGCTCCGGGAGTGTGAATGAAGACAAAAAAACCCACACCGGGTGAGTGGGAGTGGAGGTGGATGGGTCAAACAAACACAGGACTTTCAACCAAGAGCCCGGTGTTAGTGTCCTAAAGAGTTGTCGAGTCATTTTGAAGCTATATTAGTGATGTTTATGACGTGTTTTCCGTACTTGTGTTACGTTATTTACGCTTAACTTGGTTTACGTTCTTTTTTAAAGCCCATGCATGATGTTTTTCCTAAACCTAATCTAAGCGGTTTTGTTGCCTAAACCAAAGCAAGTGTTTTTCTTTAAATTCACAATGTTAACTACCTGTTTACTGTGACCGCGGAGTAGCGTCATAGTTTGGCGTGCTGGGCTACCCAGTGCGACGCCAAGGGTTCTGACCCAGCAAGACCAAGTCAGTACGTGTCGAGAAGATGCTGGTGGCCAAACACCAGCTGTGATGTCTTATGTAGGACTACTCACGCTGGCATCATCAGGATTGACAGCCCAGTCACCAGGGAAAATGTATGTTTCTGCAAACCATGTATGCATTGAATGTTGCTGTTTTGCATTCAGACAGAGCAAGTGATGAAGTATATCGAGCGGCCTTTGTTGAAAGTTAAGCAATCGTGTGTATGAAAAGAGAGATAATCCACAAGGAGTAGGTGGGAGGAGTCAATCAAATGCAGGACTCTCACCCAGGAGACCCTGTTCGTGTCCCGCGTAAAAACCAAAACTAAATGTTAACTTTGCACGTTATGTACCGTTGTTACGCTTATTACAAAGCCTTATGTAAGAACATCCGCTGAAGGTCATTTATTGACGTAGTTACGTTGTTATTTGAGGTGGGAAGAAATAAAAGTGATGAGAAAGCTCTCAACTGTCTTTAAGTATTCTACTGAACAGACACTTAGAATAATTCAGCTGAATGGATAGAGCTCCTTCCCCATGGATGGTTCGGAGGTCTAACAACAAGTCATTGGTTCTACAGAGTATATACGTTTCACACAAACTGCACATTATTATAGTTATTGCTGTTATTCCTGCCTGTTGTGAGCTTTCACAACCATGCGGTTGAGACTACAGCAAGTCAGACACAAGATACATTTGTTTGGTGGCGAGTTTTGCTTTTGTAACGTCTGCATGCACACAATGTTCAGAGTTAAGCGATACTAAATCTAATCTTTACATCTAAAAAGAACAATATGATAAATTGCCACAACATTATTATTTCAACACAAACCATGATATATTTTCTAACCAAGTAGTTTTGTTGCCTAAAACTAACCAATCGCTTCACAACGTTAACCATGTGGCATTGCAAGCGAGATACGACCCTGATATGGAGCATACTTATGAAACGTATTTGTGGTTCAGAAACAACATTTGACACATGACGACATTTTGTCCAGGTGATAGGTTGGGATTAACCTGTCCTGTTGTTGAGCAGCAGTTTGATCCCATTCGCTCCCTGAACTAGAACCACTTTGAATACTTCTGTCTGTCCTGCTTGTCTGGTACGCCCTCTTATGTGTGCATTTACGTCATATGGAAGTCACAATGAAAAAATGACTTCCATGTGTGACTTGATTAATTTAGTATCAAAGCTCACACTGGTCTGCACCTCTGTGTGTGTGTGTGTGTGTGTGTGTGTGTGTGTGTGTGTTCTCTCCAGATAAGCAATTGTACTTGCTGCTTCAGTCTTCATGCTTTTTATTACAATAAAGACTTTACTGTTTCCATTTTGTTCGTGTGGCCCAAAGATACAGCCAGGGGATAATGGCAGTTATGGATTATACTGGATGAATTATAGATTAATCCCAGCATGCAAATGGAACTCCCGTGTGTGTGTGTGTGTGTGTGTGTGGGCATGTGCTCCTGTGCTGAAATCCTTGGCAGATTGATGGCTGTGTGTGACCCACAGGCTATTTCTCTGTTGTTAGTCATGGGCTCAGCACACGCACACACACACACACACACAAACATACAGAAACCATTATAGACCTTTTCATTTAAAGGCTCCAGCTCATGCATAAGTTATATCAATATCATATAATTTGCACAATCCATATCAAACCCCCTGCCTCTTCTTCCTGGGGCTCTAACTCCGCTCACTTCCATCTTATGAGTAGTTTGTATTATCATAAAATCCATACCTGTGTTTTCTTATGAGATCTATTATCAGTATGCAGCGTTTCCTGTCTGTTCTGCTGGTATTATGTCTGGGGAGCAAACAGTGTGCTTGCGTGTGTGTGTGTGTGTTTGTGAGTGCAAGAGGTTCCCTCACCTGCTGCTCTCACTGCAGCCAGAGCGCCATCTGCTGGTCACAGATATACATCACCCAGTGGAGAGGCCGGGGTGTGGTCAGCTGATGATGGATTTGACTTTAGAGTTGCAAGATGAACAATAGTTTGTCAGTTTGTGGGGATTCCTGCTGTTCTGGGACACCTCCAAAGAGTCACAAATCTGAGAACAAAAGAAGAAGGAAAAACATGCATTTCTGCTGCGCTAAAGGATTTTATTTTTCCTGACAATTTTTGCTCCTTTTGTGAAATACTGGATAGTTTCACCTCTTCAATCCTGGTTAAATTCAAATATATCAGGCTTAGAAGAAAGAAATCCCAACGGGACCGCTTACGACTAGTGGACATAACATGTTATGACAACATTGTTTCATCGCATTTTCAGAGGTCTGAATGTAAAAAGGTTGGAAAGCATTACCCCAAGGTGCGTACTCATAACCACAGTGGGTCTGCATAAAGTCAGGATGGCAAACACAATCTGGATCCTCGTGCTATACTGCTTCACATCCTGCTTTAAACCCAAAATGTTACCTAAAAGATGGGAACTGATGCCATGTCTCATGTCTTTCTGCAGTTTTTTCTAATTTCTCTTTTTTTTATAACCCCAGTTCAGGGCAATGATAACCAGAAGATTACTGTCAAATGAACAATTTATCAAGTCGTATGTCACTTCTACCTGTTTTATAGGACTGTAGATGGATTATAGATTATTTATGATTCTGGACTATCAGTTAGTTAAAACAAGCAATTTGAGGGCTATTCTATCAGTACCAAGGCAAAGCGAGCCTGTTCACAAGAGTAGGATGCTCCTCTGGTAAGAGAGATTGAATCTCAATGTGACTCCCTGGTTAAATGAAGGTAACATAAAGCTTCACTGTTGGCTACAAAAAAAGTGTCACAATTGTTTGTCTTTTTTATAGACTTCATCTTTAAACTGACAACTTGTTTTCCTGTGAATGGGAATGTGTTCTGCAGACAGGAAACCACATTTCCATGCAGACAGGATAGGAACACTGATTGTCACATCATTTAATCTGCACAGTTTTATTAAAAAATAAAAACCACCCTTTTTAGCTGTCTGATGGGCAAAATAGAGACGAAGAGAGCAACACTTTCATACTTACTTAGACTAGATTGGCCCTAATGGGGGGGGTATTCAGTTGGCAGTATTTATTTAGTGTATATAAGAAGTGGACGTGGTCGACGTGACATCACCCATTGGTTTGTGTGGATGGCTGTTTTGAAGCCTCGAGTTCGACATTTTGGCTGTAATCTTGGATTTTTGCAGCCAGTAACCATGTTTGGACTGCGGAGGAGTGACCTCAAGACGCAGTATACGTATTTTAGTGACCCGTCAATCACAGTAAGCCCGCCCATAAGCATACTCTACTTTATGGTCTATTTGACTCTAAATGGACCATAATTTACTTCACTTGTCAGAACCGGAGGTTGCAGCCTGGTTGCTGCCTGCCACCAAATCCTACACACTGGACCTTTAATTAAAAATCAAGTGTTTTTTAGAATCGACACAGTATCACAAAACACATCGCTTCTCATTAAAACATCACATGATGGACAGCACACCATGTGATGTCATTGATTTGGGGAGTTCACGGAGCTTTGGCCTCATTAAACAGAGGTTGTTTTGATGACGAGCTTTACATTCCTTTGTCTTTTTTTAAACATTTATTACATTCTGTAGTTTTGCTCATTCAGCTTTTCCATCGAGCCAAAAACCTCGACTCTAGATCCCGTTGAGCCCTGCAGGCTGTCCATCAGGGACAGATAAGCAGACGGTCATTACTGTGACAAACACGGTTGTTCTCCGGGTGTCATTGTAGCTTTGTGTAGTTAGAGCCCCCTGATAATACAAACACACACACACACACTGTCCTCATGTCAGCCCCTCAGGCTCAGTCTCGACACCACAGAGGAAGAGAAATCACGCTGGAGACACGTCTCCTCCTGCTGGAGACACGTCCAATCAAATTCAAGCACAGTGATCAACTCGGACAGGAGCTAATGCATCCTGGGACATACTTGGCCGCTGCTCCTCTGCTGCTTCCTGTTTATTCGTTGATTTGTTTACCGTGGGGCAATGAGGGCGGCGGTTTCTGTGGCAACAAGCCAGGCCTTCCAGTGAGACCAGAACCAGAGAAGGACTTCATTCACATGCACTGATGACTACTGGCACACGATTAATGACATCATCACTTTATTCAAATCACATTTACAAACGTCAGGGAATCAAAAACTGGAAATGACTCGGACGTTCTTCAGTTGAGTTTCAATCAATCAATCGGTCTCTTAGAAAATGTTGTATAAAACATAATGTATACAAAGTTATGAATTAAACATGTTCAAAATATGTTACATCAATATATTGGCAATATGTATATAAAATATGGGGAAGCAAAGTATGTTCAAAGCAGGGAGGGAAGTAGGAAGTAGGAGGAAGGGAACACCAAAGGTGAGGATGTCTGGAAAGGGAAAGTCACCAAGAATGAGAGAAATAGATGAAGTAAAGGAGAGAGGGAAAAGTGAAGGTGCGATGAAGAACAAAAGAAGGAAGCGAGGATTCAGGAAACCTAGAGAAGGAAGAAGGAATCAAAGAAATTAAGGAAAGGACCAAGGAGAGGAGAGTTAAAGGAATACTTCAAGCCCCAAATGACCATTTGTAGTGTAAACACTCAACTACTCAGCTGAAGTCATTCCATGTTCATTTCAAAATGTTGCCGTTATGTTGAACCACTGCAGCCTGTTGAGGGTGGGACTGAGGAGGCAGTGAGGACAAAAGATAGAGTGTATTTATGTCTGGGGGGCAGCTGCAAAAATCTGTTGTTTCTTCCGGCAGCCGGCACGGCAGAGAGAGACGGCGTGGGGATAACAGCGTGTAGAGCAGACATATTATCACATCTCACTCTGTGAATTTGAGGATTTTATTTCCACCCTCCAGAGTTGCTAGTTGTTGGAAGAGTGGAAAAATGAACCGACACGTTTGGTGAGTTTTACTTTGTTTCTGTCTAATATGAAGGAAGTTTAAACGACGAGTACGTCTCAGTTTGGTGCAAGAGAGAAACCTGAATTCAGAAGGTGTCGAGTTGTTTTTCTTTCGATTCAGGTGTTGCTTTATCGGCATTTTGAATGAAATGATCAGACTTAAAGAGAACTTGTGTAACGTAGCGAGCCTCGTAGCTTGCGTGCAATGCGTCCCGGTACACGGAGACAGCAGCTTACTCAGCCGATGCAGCACGCTCTGAGGAATTCATTTCTTCAGCGGACTACATTTACATTCAGCGCTGATTGAACATCCACATAAAAGGTGACGAGTTCTCCCTTCAGCCAGTGCTGGTTGAAAAGGATGCGAGCATTGAGATGGTGTCCTTGATGTTATGGACGAATGAACAGGACCGTGATCGGTGAGAGTGAGGCGGCGGGAGAAGGAAACCAGTCGGCCTTTGGCATCGGGTGAGTTCTTCTGTTGCTCTCTGTGGCAAAAAGAGAGAGAGAGAAAGAAAGAGAGAGAGAGAGGGGGATATAAAGTACTGAGAACATAAAACATTAAAAACCAAACTACAGCCCTGATGGCAGCCTCTCCTCTCCTCCGTCACCTCCGGAGGTCACTGCTGTCTCTGCCGGACACATGTTGCCCCCCCCCCCTCTGCTTCTCCAGTCTCAGAATCATCAGCAGCTCTTCTCCTCCTTATCTATTCCTCCCTTTTTCCTTTCTATCTCCTACCCTCAGATCCCCGCTTGCCTGCACATCTCACTTCACTGAGTGATTGTGATGTAACAATGATGCAGGTGAAGTCTGCGGGAAATGACACGACAATGTTTCAGACTGTTGAATTTAAATCCCAAATACGTCCAGCATGATGTATGCACACATAAGTAGAGTAAGTACTTTTTCCCCATTTACATTAACTTTGAAAAGTTATGAATAAGCTGTTATTGTTATTCCTCTTTTGTTGGAAGCTGTTCCTGTTTTAAATCTGACTGAACCGTTGTTCAGAGTTTTGTTCTCCAAAACAAAACAAGTCAGCAAAGAGGACTTTCTACAAGATAAAAGCATGAAAGACCATTCAGACATATAGAGTGGTCCTCTCAGACATCTGACTGGACACAATCGAGCTTTGGGAGCAGGAGATTCATATTTTTTAAACGGTAGTGTAAGTCAATGGGATCTGTATAGTAAGGCACTATAAGTTCTCTGTATGAACCACATATTTCAATTTGTGTATGTCAACAGAAACGCCGTAAATTCATGTAGAAATAGACTCTTTGTCCCAGGAAGGCTGAGTTAGTGACCCCACACACACACTCATAATAACACCCCGACTCCCAGCCAGACACACACACACACACACGCACTCCCCCAGCTGTCATGGCCGTCTGCGGCGGCCTGATTAGTGAGCTGGAGTCACGGCTGAGTTGTGACTGATGGCTCGCTGACAAGCAGGCCATTTAAACCGCTGCCCGCGTTTGTTTTCATTTCATAAAGGTACACAAACACTCGGACAGTGCTGGGTGTAACTTGTCTGGCTGCCGGCCCCCGAAACGCTCCGCTCCCCTGGCATCAGCAAGAGGAGGGAAAAAAAGAGGCTTTTATCTCAGCCTGTGGACCGGTGATGGCCTCACCTTGGTCACACTGTGAGAGGTGGTGGAAAGCAGCGAAGTACCTTCACTGCAGCATACTTAAAGGGTGACTTTGGTATTTTTCAACCCTTATTTTAACATGATTTTTGTAATGGGGACGACTTTTTAAACATTGGTCTAGTATTGAGGGAGAACGCTGCAGCCGACAACATTATGGAAAGAACCCTACAGAAAAAATCCAATATCTTTCTTTACTTTTCCATTGATCCAGTCTGTTTGTTTTTGTGTCTTACAGAAGTCTCGTTCTGAAATCTCGCGAGAGGTGAAAACAACGGGATGAAAACTTGAGTCAGAGTAGGAAAGAGGACTGCCGGTATCGTCAGAGTTTGTTGTGTTGGAGCACAGAAAGCGTAGCTTAGTTTTATCTGAAAGATTTTCAATATCATGGCTGAATATTTAGCTGATTTTGACAAAATAAATGCAAATGAGCTATTAGTTACTTCATGAGTAACTTTGTTGTAGCGATTCGATAACCTCCACTGTACTGACAAACTGAACAAAACAAAATAGAATTTCCTAAATTGTGTTTTCACACAGCTTTCGCAAAGTCTGTGATTAAAAACAACCAGAGGGTTAGAAGCACCTGGCCCACGTGGGCTTCACGTGCGCACACCCCGTCCTACATTCAGCGGGACATCAGCGAATGAGAGTGGATGAAGAGCTTGTAAAATGCCACGTGCACGCTTTTGATGCTCGCAGCGCTACCGCGTTAAAAAAGTCCGAGGTCTGGTTTTAAGCAGGCGGCAACCTCCGGTTCAGCCGAGTGAAACCGATGCGGAAGTGTCATAAAAGCTGCATTCTCTCTACTGATCAGCAGGGGGCGACTCCTCTGGTTGTATAGAAGTCTATGAGAGAATGACTCTACTTCTCTCTTGATTTATTCCCTCAGTAAACATTGTAAACATGAGTTTATGGTCTCAATCTCTAGTTTCAAGTCTTCTTCAATACAGCATGATGTTCATTTAGTAAATTATGGTCCATTAGAGTCAAACAGACCATAAAGCAGAGTATGCTTTAGGGCGGGGCTACTGTGATTGACTGCTGCTGCTACCAGAGACGTATACAGCGTCTCTGTGTCACTCCTCCGCATTCCAAATATAGTAGCTTCTGTTCATTGTTTGCAAAAAAAACAACATGGCGACGGTCGTAATCCAAGATGCTGACGGCAAAGTCGCCGAATTCGAGGCTTCAGAACAGCAGACCACAAACCAATGGATGACGTCATGAAGACTACGTCCACTTCTTACATACAGTCTGTGGTTTTAAGCGCAATCCACGTGTTTACATGTTACATTGCTGTAAGTAGTGTGACATGGCGTCGAGCGAGAGAGAGAGAGTAGCGGTTGACGAGCTCAGAGCAGACGGGTGGCGGCCATCTTGGCAGAGAGGGAATTAGCGGTAAAGGTTGTTGCAAATGTACAGAGTAGGTTTCAGTTTGTCGACGAATAAAAGCTGCAGCTGAAGCAGGAACTGTTAACGTGTCTACGAGCGGGAGAGTCACGGTCAGTGGGCACTTTAGTTTGAGTGATTCGTTACAATACTGTTACTGATGTAAGATTCATAATTACTACATATGTCAGTGATCACACAAGGTCTGCTGTTCTGCGGAGCTTTGTTGTTCTTTTTTCAGATTTTAATTAAAAAGTGATGATTATATGACATGTCTACCATGTCATATAATCACACTGTATATTGTGATTGAACTCCAATCGCTAAATCAAGATATGATATTCATATTGCCTGGCCTATATAAAAGAGCAGTTTATATGTTGACTGTATCTAGTGCTTGTGTTGGTCACACTATAGAATGATTTACTGCTTGTTTATAGTGAATAATACAGAAGATGGTCTAAAAGTCTCAGTGAGATTGTTTTTCCCGTTGCCCTGGTTCGAAGTAGGTAAATGCTGCCAAGAGCAGGTTGTGCTGTGAGCACCGTGCCGGTGGGGACTTTGGCTCCCTTTCGTCGTGCCAGCTGGTGCACCTGCTCTGAATCAGGTTAATAGGTTGATTGGCTCGGAAACAGGCGGTACGTGCACAGTGTGCACAATGCTTTCCTTTAGACTCCACTGTTGGGATCCACGCAGTTTTTTTGACGCTGAAAATTGAAGGCGGCCAACCTGCCAGCTTTCATAGTATTGTGTCTCGGCTTAGATTGTATCTTGTTTTTTGCCAGAGCTGTTAGTGGCAGTCCTTGATCAGACAGCCTGGGGCGGCTTACTGCACTTGATTTCATCTAAATTGTTCTGTTAAACTAAGTTAAACAGTTCATGGGTTTGTGTTAAGCTTACATTTGCACTCATTCGAACAACAAAAAACGCAGCAAACTTCCAAAAACGGCCGGTCTGTTTGTTTTTACGAATTTGTCTGATCAGTCCCTTAAACAATGAAAGATTTGAAACCACTATGAGATAACGCTACAGTGGTTTGGGACAGCCGGCTCTGACCCACCTTTAGAGGCCTAGGCAGACCCTCAGCTCCTCCAGCGTCAGGCTTCGGTCTCCGTTGCAGTGCTGGGCGAACTTCTTGGCGCACCGTCGCGGCTTCAGCCTCCGTCGCAGGAACTGCCGGAAGGGTCGGGCCTCGCGTTCGCTCAGCGACCCGCTGGAGTCCGCGTCCAGCCGGCCGAAGTGCCACCGCAGCGCCGCCTCTGGCCCGGAGGACTCCGCGGCCTCCGGAGCGGCGGGAGAAGCGTCGTCCGGAGCGGCGGAGGACGGGGCGGCGGAGTTTGGGGTGTTGGAGGATGGAGAGGGAGAGCTGGAGGGAGGCGTGTTCGAGGGCCTGGTGGAAAGAGACGGGACGAAAACCTAAAGCGGTGAGAGGTTTAAAGGAGTAATCCACTGAGAATCTGTCGTTTTCAGAATGAGATACTCCGTCTGTACACGAAGCTGCAGCTGGCTTTGATTCACAGCAGTTACAATGGATACTGAGCATGCATGTCAACAGCAGTGACAGTTGCAGGAGAGCTTTATATGCAGGAAGTGGTTGGTCTAACATCCAAAAACTCAACGTATGGCAATCATATCCCTTCTGTGGAGCTCACCAGGGTCAGATATGTATTTAGTCATATATCAGTGGAAATGACTGACTATGGACGAGAAGTATGTCAGGTGGCAGGAAATGATTGGAAACATTCCTATAGATATTGTTTTTGATCCTTTTTACCCGACCATGAAAAGGGGATGCTTCAGGATCCCTTTGAACAGACATGAATCCAATCTCCATCCATCACAAACTATCTCTTTCAGCCACTAAAGCCTGGAGAGGTGAATGTACAACGGCAGTAAAAAACATTATGATGATTTAATAATGAGCCAGGATTGGGGGGTAATGTTCTGTGAGAAAGTTTTAAAGTCCCGAGGAAAATCTTTTTATTAAGTCATATTTCTGAGAAAGAAAACCCACGGTGATAAAAAAAAAATAGGAAAGGAACCACATTGCTTCACTTTGCAAGGTTGGATCAACCACACCACAGATGCCGCCGTTATACGCTGCAGTAACGTGAGTGTGATACAAAATTTGATTTCAAGTTTAAGTGAGATTATATTTGCGACCACAGCAGGCGTCAACGGGTCCAAATGATTGTAAACCAATCTCGTTATATTCCTCCTGAACTCGATAAATATCCAATTTCACGAGGACGTGGCAGTCCGCTGAAACACAAACTCACCGGGCGTCTCCCGGGCTCCTGATCGCTTACACAGCGAGCAGAAAAACACAGCTCCACTTTCCTCCATCAGACCAAAACACAAGCAAACCCGGAAATTCATTAGACAAACACAAAGTTATCAGGAGGAAAAGTAACGGTGGAAATGAAACCTGGGCATCGTGTAAGTGTGTGTGTGTTTGCAGAGGTGCTATCTGGCATAACGAGGCTTTTGTTACACCATAAAATGGTAACGTTGGGAAAGCAGGAGAGCGAGGCAGAGAAGGAGGTGCAGGATGAGACGCAGATTGGTGAAAATGAGGACATTATGAAGAGGACAAAGTGAGAGGGAGGGAGGGAACGAGGTAAGTAATGAACGTTGATTGGCAAAGAGAGGCGCGGAACAGGGAAGCGGATGGAGTCGGTCCGTGCTGTTCTTCCAACAGTCATCAGTTAATCAGGTATTTGATCGAGTCGGTCGTCCGTCCGTCTGCCTGTGCCGGGCCCTCACCATTATGGGGACATAAGGAACAGCCTGTACGTAGAGCTAGAAGCATGAACACAATAGAGTTGCTTGCAAAGTAAAAGCTTGAACTCTTGTATTGCTCTGTCAGACTGATTTATATATTGGTCATACTCTGCATGGTTTTAAGTTCTGTGCTTCTGCTCTGTATGTGTTTAGTGTCAAACCACGCAGCATAATCTCGTCTTTAGTCCATGTGTCTGTTAACACAGTTATCCCTCATGTGTTTGCTTTGCATGTGTTGGATGTCTTTATAGTACTTAACAATGTAGTGTGAGGGTGTCCTGAATTGATGTTTCTACTCGTATTAATATTCTCTCTTCTTTTATTATTGTTTCTGCATGCTTAGAAAGGATAGATGATGCATAACTTTGTAATTTGTATCTTATATTCTGTTTAATTAAGTGTGATGTGGTAACATCTGTCCAGGGAATACAGATGAGCAATACCCTCTTGGCTAACTCTGGCACATTTGATGTTTTATCAATGTGCACTGTCCCTACCCAATAAACCAATAAGTACATGAAATGGGACAAAGCCAAAAACCCGCCGGATCCTGAAAACCTCACCTGAGTGTGACCCTGGGTTCCGCTTGAACTCAGGAGAGTTCCTGTGTAACACGCCAACAATCTCACCATGGATATAAAACAGAGCGCAACCATCTGATCCCCGCCTCCTTACTGGGACATCAGCTGCTACAGGAGGTAAACAGCCCACACAGTCTTCACAGGAGATTAATAATCACCACACCTGCTGTGATGAGCGGTAGAATAAGACTTACTGGTAGAGGCTCACACTTCCAGCATGCTCTGCTTCCAGCTGCAGAGCTCTAACCAGACTCTGCAGGAAGTGCTTCCTACGAGCTCCGGGACAGCCTGAGGGGGAACAGAGCAGGGAGGAGCGTTACCATGGATGCTGGAGACTGTCCTCGCATGACAACAGTCGACCCTGTCCTCGCATGACAACAGTCGACCCTGTCCTCGCATGACAACAGTCGACCCTGTCCTCGCATGACAACAGTCGACCCTGTCCTATCCTCCCGCTTCATGTTTCCATCACCTCCCTCAGGAGAGGGGACAAACTAAATGTTTCAAGAATTAGAAATGAAATAAACAGGATTTTCTAGAGAAAATATCTGAAACATTTAATAGAATTATTATAATTTTTTCTAAATATATATATATATATTTTTTTGTATGTATGTAACAGAGACTCATATTTACCAGGCAGAGGGTTTTTCCTGGGCCTGCTGTCTGTTGGTGCCTCCTCTGCCCCAGTGCACTCTGGGATGCGATTCCTGCATAGAAACAGAGGATGTTAACTGTCAGTTAACCATCATTACAGAGGAAGTATGTATTTTGACTAGAAAAAGCCAAGGAATTGTCAGCTGACTGCAGGAGAAAAACTATTCAATGACCACCCATTTATAGCTAAATATTCCAAACCTCTGAACAGCAACAGAAACAGAAAGTTAAACGTTTTTAAAACAGGGCTCTTTTGTTCATGTGACGCTACATTAGTGGTGGAAATATTCTGTTATCTGCCTAAAAGGTTAAGAAATGCATTACTTAACTGGTCAAAATGTCCTTCCCTGGTAAAAGTGAAATACTTTCTAATTAATTACACCTAGAGATAGAGAATACACGGTTTGTCTGTGGGAGAAACATTATCAGGTTCTCGGGGGAGTAAAAACCCCGGAGAACAAAATCGTCCGACCGCAATGTACTCTGATTTGTTCTGTGTTTCCTTTAAGGGAGACTTACTGAGGGAACAGAGACAGTAATTGGTGTAAAATTGGATGATTAAGAGGCAACGCTTCTGTGCATCAGTGCGTAATTACATTTGTGCATATAGAAAGCCGTCATATCCGGGGAGGGGAGGAGAGAGGAGAGGGAGAGAGGAGGGAGAACAGAAGGAAAGACAAAGAAAAGATCAATTTAAATGACTTATTGAGAACTATTGAACTAACAGACTGATTGATTACCTCGCAGATGTGCCCGGCAGCGGCCTGCCGCTGTCCACCCGGACACACCAACAGTAACCCGTGGCAGCGTGACACTGCGCGGGGCTGTAGCGGCCGTCCGCAGTGCATTCTGGGACGAAGCGTTCCTCCTGCCAGAGAGAGAGCAGCGACGCCCGCTCGCGCTCGCATGTCTGAGGAGTGTCTGTGCAAACACATGAACACTACAGTATATTTGTGAGGACATTTAAAGACAATACACCCTACAATACACCCTACATCTATTTCTGTTTTAGTACCAAAGAGGAACTTTCATTTGGTGTTGATTTTGGAGGTAGTGATTGCGAGCACCAGATCCCTCTCGTTTAACTGCAGTAGAGGGCTGACACTCTTAGAGGTAAAGCGGGTCGTCTTCCAATCCTAAGATCGATCCCCAGCTCCTCCAGTTGAAGTGTCCTTGTGCAAGAAACTGAAACGCAAGTCCATTTACCATTTGGAGTAACTATAAAGGAATGACCAACTTCCTCAGGTATATGGGATTGAAGGGGAGATATAGCTAATATCTTGCTGATGGTCTCGTTTGCTTATGTAGGTCATATACAGCAACCTGTTTTCTGGGAATCCACTTTTTTTTAAAAAGAGACAAACCATTGCGACCCAATTCACAGCTGGCCTTATCTATAAATTGTAAAAGGAGAAGATGAGCAAATGTTTGCGTAAATGGACGTCCCCTTTTTACCGCCATTTCATAACCAGTTAAAGGTTCCTCACAGTAACGTTAGTTCAAACAGTTTCCACAATGTCAACACAAGATGAATATTATGAGCTTGGTAAACATAGATGTTATGCATTAGACCGGGGGGGCAATTATCTTTCCCAAGGGGCCACATGAGAGACAGGGAATGTTGTGGAGAGCCAGACCAATAGACTGAACTCAATCCTGCTCAACATTATTCCACCTCTTTATAAAAAGCACATTGTTTGGTTTTGATGAGCTGTGAGTGGTAAGAGTAAATATTGTGATCAGTGGTGGAATGTAACTAAGTATATTTGCGTAAGTACTGTACTTACAGTATGTACAAATTCAAGGTACTTTACTTGAGTATTTCTATTTTATTCAACTTTGTACTTCCACTCCACTACATCTCAGAGGGAAATATTGGACTTCTTACTCCACTACTTTTGTCTTTAGTTACTTTGCACATTATAAGTTTTCAAACCTTTCCTAACTACCCAAACTAAACAACAGAGTATAAAGAAGTTAAAATAAGCTCCGCCTTAAACATCTGCAGCAGGAATAATGATCCAAACAAATATATATTTGTAATATCCATATAAACATAGCACAAAAAGTAAGGAAAGTTGTGTTTGGTAGATTATTTCTTTGTTGTAACAATGCTTCTTGGCAATAAATCTTATACCGTTGGAAAGCCTGTTTATTATACTCCCTTTTGAATGGTGCCACATTTGTAGACATTTGTAGAAACATGCATTTGTGGGATGAGCAGCAGAGCTGAGTATGTGGGTTGCGCCCATGAAAAATGTACCAAATCTTCTCTGCCAAACAGCTTATTCTGCCGTTGACTCTTGTTTGGTAAATTGGATGATTTAAGTCTGAAGAAACAAGAGATATTGGCAATTTAACAATGTATTGATTGAACAAACAAGAGCCTCAGTAGCGTGTGGAAGAACCATCCACAGCCACAACAGCCTGGTCACCAGCCTGCTCACACACTGCTGTGGGATTTGTCCCATTCTTCAAAAAGCATTTGTCGCAAGTCAAAAAAAGAATTGCCCACCCCTGGGATCATGTTTCTGATAAATTAGTACTTTTATTATTATTGTTTGTAGTCCAATGACCTCATTTTCTGCAAACCAGAAAAGCTAGAGAGGTGCCAGTTTGCCTCCTGAGCACTGCCCTTGAGCAAGGCACAGGATCCAATCTCTAGATACATGATGATCGTGTATCGGTCCTGTGTGTGCATTTAATCCTGCTTTGTGTGAAAGTATATAATAACAGAGTGAATAAATTGAATTATCCCTTACAGGATTAATAAAGTATAGGATATTAGAAGTGTACCTAATAAAGTGGACACTGCGTGTTCAAGCATAGCCAAGTATACTTCTCTTATAAGTCCTGGAAAAAAAAGAGTGAAGAAAACCTGGTGGCATTTTTGAGCAACAGCTCATTTTCTAGTCACCATATTACATCTGCAGACTTTCAGAAGTGAACCGGCTCACTGGCTCTTACCAGAGGGTCGTCTGACTGAGCGGTTCCCTTTAGGGTCAGAGTTCATCAGGAAGGTCACCCAGAGCAGAGGAGCGGTCAGCTCTGTCAAAGAACGTTTAAAGGTGTTTGTGGAGATGTTGTAAAGAGTAGAGCGAAGCAAAAGATCTGCCAGTTAACTGCACAACGCTTCACTGAACATGGATTACATGATCAACTCTATTCAGTGAGTGTAGCTTGGATGAAATCTGTAATTTGGTAAGTAGACAAAAAGAATCGTGTCCTTATTGGAGAAGGTTGGGTTTGTCACCTGTAGGCTTCCTGGGCTCCAATGTAGGTCCTGGTTCACCAACTTCATCTGGAACATAAGAAAAGAGTGAAAGTAACACGAACCAGAAAGGGAGAAAAAGGAATCGTCTCGGAGGAAGAAGGCATGTGAAGAACCAGACAGCGGAGGGAGTCTCGGGGCGTGGAGCGACCTGTGAATGCTCCACTTCCTGCAGGTGCGTCTGGCAAGAGAAAACAAGCAGTGCCATGCCAGGAGACGGGGAAAAAAAAGAGAAACATACAGAACAAGTATGCATTCAAGTCCACATCTAGAATGGGAAGAATAAACATGTACTGTATGCAGAGAGAGCAATGCTGCCTTTTGGAGTTAAACGTCTTTCTCACCTTTAATTGGAGCTGAATCTGCATCGCTGGTCTGAGGTAACTTGGCGATGTGATCTGTTCGGGATGATTTATTAAGACAGACGTGTGGGAAATACACAAACTTTGATGGCGGACACGTGGATGTCTAAGCTAGTTTTGTTCCTTTTAATGTGAATAAAGTACATCTGACCAGTACAGTCGGGCATCAGATGGAGGACCGAGGTCCCGCTGACGGGTTTGCCGTCGGGCATGGAGCACCAGCAGTATCCGGTCTGGTTGTGGCACTGCACTGGCAGGAAGTGAGCATCCGGACCGCACTCTGGCACAAAGATGGCAGCTGCCAGGCTAACATGGCCGCCGCTGTGGTGGGCGCCGGCCTCCAGGGCCTGAGACCGGGCCAGCTGGCATTTGGACTGACTCGGGTCTGAGAAGAAAGCGACATTGAGTCATTAGTGTCCAGATGTTCCCAGTGGTGGAGTGTGACTCGGTACATTTACTCAAGTACTCAGAGTGGAACTCAGGTATTCTTCAAAACCATGTTTTTTTATCTATGTGACTAATGGGGACAATCAATTTTAAAATTGGTCCACTTTGGTCTTTACTTGAGTATTTCCATTGAATTCTACTTTATACTTCTACTACACTACATCTCAGACACAAATATTAGTACTTTTTACTCCACTACATTCATTTGATCATTTGAGTTACTTTGCAGATTCAGATTAATAACACAAAATATTCACACGCTACCCAGTAGCTCCACCTTTACCAGCTGCAACATTAAAGTGATGAACACATTAATGCATCAATAATTATAATCCAATATTATACTATATATTATCCTAGAAATAGCCCATTTTGCATAATGAAAACTTTAACTTTGTGTACTTTAAGTATACTTTAAAGCCACTACTCCTGTACTTGTATTTGAATGCAGGGCTTTTACTACACTGTAGTATTGTTGCTGTTACTGAAGTAACGGAGGTGAGTACTTCCTGCATGTGCTCCCATCGACGGGGAGTGTGGAGGTACGAATGCTGTTCACTGTAAACACAGACATGCATACACAGGTCCGTACCTGAGCAGTGTGCTCGCGGAGCGGGGCGGAGCTGTGTGTTGATGCACCGGGCCCTCTGGAAAGCACACGGCGATTTATACAGCCTGCCGTTGCTGCCGCACACGGCTCTGTGGCGCCCCCTCTGGCAGTCCAGGACACAACCACGGGGCCACATGTTCTCGGCGATCAGGAAAGGCTACAAACGCACAGACGGATGTTTTGGAATAAAACAACCTCTGTTCCTTAATATCCAGACATTAATGTAAGAATTGACTGCAGGGA